AATAAATTAAAACTGAATGAAAAAATTTCCCTGGTGCCAAACATAAAAGAGAACTTTTCCCTTCTTCTTTTTTAAGCATTCCTTTGGAGAACTTGGAATGATAAACTTGCTTTCTGTGACCCTTTGAGCTGCATGTAAATCTTTTTGAAATCTAAATAATCCTCTTAACAGTTTTGCTTCCCAGGAATGCCTTTCTTGGGGGCATTGAAATGTGAACATTGAGGAGGGTGCTGCCCTGTCTCCCTGCCTCTGAGAAAGTTCACCTTAGGTGCCAGCTCCAAGCTGGAACTAACTGCTCACCATAAAATTAAAGTTTTATTTTTCTTATGGTTAGATACAGTTAACCCGTGTGTAATTAATTGTACGTATCTAGAAATATAAGTGGTGAGATTTCTTTCTGTTTTTCAGTCTTGTTAGTGGATTGTCTGTGACCCACATTGCAGTCTGGTTTAAATGCTTGATTATTAATAAGACTTCATTCATTTTTGCCTTTTGTGGAGATGATTGTTTTGGGTTGGCAGGATATTTTACTTTTAATTATTTCCCCAACACCAGTAATGAGGGCAAGGATTGGACAGTCTTTGTTACTATATGTAGGTAAAATGATTCATATTATAACTGTTGAAGGACAGCAGAGTCAAAGTGGATGGTGGTTTGATTTGTATCTGAGAGTTCACAATATTGAGTAATAGACATTCATTATATCTCTTAAAATGGAATAAAAACTTTTTGATGGTATAAAAGCAGGAATTGTTTTTTAAGTAGAAGAGACACAGTTCTGAGAGTCTAAATCTCTTGAGATATCGCCCTTCTGTGGGAGCCAAGGTCTTATTTGCTGAAAAAATACTGACATAAGTCAGATTGATTAAGAGGAGACAAAGCATACAAATCTATTTAATGTGTATACATGGGAACCTTCAGAATAAAAACCCAAAGATACAGGGAGACTTGTCAGTTTTTATGCTTAGGTTCAAGAAAGCATGGACAGCCATGTAGAAGTATGGTTGGATAAAGAGGGTGTGATCTAATGTTAATAGGCACGGTGGCGAAACTCGACAAGGCCTGTCTGTCTAGATTCTTCTTGGCCTCTCTGAGCATGCATCTCTTCTTTCTGGGCATGGGGCAGGACCCTCTCTAGAATGGGGGTTTTATGACCCGCAGTCAAATAAGGTAGGTCAGATAATTTTCTTATGGTTAGTTTTTACACAGAAAGGCAGAAGAAAAATTAGAGCAATATTTTTAGGTTTTATGACTAGCTTTGAGAAAAAGGAGTTCCATTTTCTATGATCTGCCTTAGGGATGGGGGATTCTAGTTTCTGTAGGTGCCTTGAAGGACAATGGGACTGAGAGACAGAAGGCCAGAAGACAGGACAGTCAGAGAGAAACTTTGGTGTCGGAGGTGTTCATTTGAGGATTTTGTTCTCTGAGCCCGAACATCTCAAACTGGCAATAACAGTGGTCTGTCTGGTTCTCATAGTCACAGATGATGCCCTGTGCAAAGCAAGTCTGAGCAGCCTACCCTTGCCATCACAAGAACCCTGCCTTGAAGGGCCTGGACACAATCAGATGCCCTGGCTCACTGATTTTGCAAAAGGGGATTGTAGTCTAGGGTAGTAGGAAGACCTATGCAGCTGGTATCTCTCCGCCAGAAGATACCCACAAGTGTTTGTGTATTCTCTCAAACAGTTACTAAATATCCTGTGGTACCAGGCTCAGTACTAGGTACTAGTTGTATATGCTAAATAAAGCTCAGGTCTTAATCTCAAAGTACTTTTCTTGAGAAAGAAAAACCTGTTAATGATTATGGCAGAGGGTGGTAAATGCTATTATGTGTTCTGCACAAAAAATGGTAAAAATTCTGAGGGCAACTGACAGCCTGGGGAAGGGTCAAGGAAGCCTTCTAAAAGGGAGGACAGCTGAGCCCTGTCTTGACGCTGGAAACCCAGTCTCTCTAGCCTTGGCTCTCACATTTCTTCTCTGTTTCCTGGCTAATTCCTAAGATCTAAACTTTCCAAGTCTTATGTAACCTCCACCAGGATGCCTTCAATGGCCCTGCAAAGCTAGGACAGGTGATGCTTTTGTGTGCCTCATGAAGCCCTGCCAGTCAGCCTCACAATACATTGTGAGGTCTTTTAGGGCAGGGCCATTTTTCTACTTACCTCTATGTCTTCGGCACCTAGCATGGTGCCTGGCACACAAGTAGTAAGTACGTAACATATCTGTGAAATGACTGAAGGTTGGGTGAAAAGTAGTTATTGAGGTGTGTGAAAGAGGAAGCTTGGGAGGAAAGTGGCATTACTGACATTATCAATAGAAGGAACAGCATAAGCATATAAAGGCAAAAAGCAGTTAAGTATTCTGTGTAATGAATGACAAATACTTCCAAGTTGTCCAGAGCATACATTGCAAGTGAGAAAGTGGCAGGAGATAAGATTGGAAAATTAAGCAGAGAGTGTGCGTCAGTCTAATGGTAAATGAAGTCACGTGCCCTCCTCCATTGATCTCTGTTTCCCTTTGGGAGTTTCTGGAGGATTGCCCATTAAAATGGACATCTGCTTAATGTGTACATGGTACAGATGAGTCTCCCATGTGACACACAGAGATGCAATATTTCCGGAAGTGCAATTAAAAAATAAATATGTTGGTTTTAAGTGTAGCCCATTGTGAACCTCTGGGGTGCCTTCCCCAGAAAGAGAGTATTCATTTCAGAGGGGATCTTCATGCAAATTGGATTTGGGAATTTGGAACAACATGCAACTACAAGTATATAATTAGCACCTAATTATGTTGCAGAATGGCTGACAAGACCCTGCTTGGCTAATAGGAGTTTCCAGTGCAAGTGTGTTTGTGGACAAGGCCCATGCTGGAAGATACGCAGACACTAAATCATTTACAGTATAGTGTCTATGTATCCTGATCTAACCCAGTTTTGAGACTTAGTAGAATATAATCTTTAGTAGGACAAGAGCTAACCTCAGTGATGATATTGGGATAAACCATGGAGATCAGGCAGGTTGGTGCATTGCGATGGATCTGGATGAGGTTGTCAGAGGATCTGAATTCAGTTCCTTGCTCTGTCTGAAATGATTTCTGTGTTCACTAACAAGTCATATGCCTCTCTGACCCCCAGATACTTTATCACGAATCAAGTTGTCGCTGAGTTGTTTTGAGAATAAAATGAGATCATGGATGTGGAACTATAAAATAATAAACAATTGTGGCATTTTCAAACTAATAAAAACCAGTGCTGAAACTGAAGAGGCAATCACTTATGAGTGTAGCCCAATGCCAGGGGAAGTAGGGAATACAGAGAAATAAAGCTTCTTGTTCCCACCTTCATGGTTTTCTTTTGTTTTTCTTTGACAGTAAAGACAAACCAATATGTACATATAATAGAGAACAATTAAGCACTCACATTTAATGAAATCTGAGTTCAAATAGGAGAGTAATGATTGACAGATGGAGTTGCTGAGGAAGGCTGCAAGCCGAATGAGTTTACCTTTTCTTTTCTCCTCCCTTTTCTTATCTTTCTCTATTCTCACTTTCAGACAAAATCCTCACAAGTCTCCACACTTACTCATCATAAAAACTCCCAGCAAGTCAGGACTAGAAGAGAACCACCTTAATTTGACAAAATGTACTCACGGAAAAACCTACAACCAATGTAATATTTAATGGTTAAATTCAAGGCTGTCTGATCTACCACATTAATTCAACACTTTACTGGAGGTTCTGACAATCCAATGAGGCATGAAAAATTAATAAATGTCATTAAGTTTATTAAAAAAATGTGCAGCTGTCTCTTATTGCAGGAAACATTGTAGAAAATGCTAAGGACACTACAAAGATTAATAGAACTAATAGGTGAGTGTATCAAGGCCACAAGATACACAGTCAATACACAAAATTATTGTAGTTTTGTATACCAGCAGAAAATTTCAAAAATAAAAATATTTACAGTATAATTAAAAGATAAGCATAGAAAACTTAGGTATAAATTCAACAAAATATACTCAATGCCTGTATGCATAAAACTACTAAAGATTGCTAAAAGAAATTAAGAAGACCTAAATAAATGCAAGATATACCATGTTCATGAGTTGAAAGATTCAATAGAAAATTATCTTCAGATTATATAAAATTTTAGAATAAGCCAAAGTAATCTAGAATGGAAAAAATTTAAGACATTCTAGAGGAACAGAATTGCTGATTGATCAAGGAAAGGGCAGAAGTATGCATTTACCAAAACTCATGAAGTTTTGTATCTAAGAATTTTATGTTTCATGAATGTAAATTTTATCTAAGTAAATAATATAAATCGTATTGATCATCTATCTATTTCTCCATCTATCTATTGATACATACATTTGTGTGGTTGTATTTTAAATATACACATATTTTTTAGATATGACCATTGAGAGGGTCTAAAAGCCAGGACACACTAGTAGCAATGAGCACATTTTGAGCCCAGATTTTGATTTCTAAATATCATTCTCTGGTATAAAGAACTAAATCTCTTTGGAGAAACGAATGACTCCAGAGCTGAGGCAGAGGATCTATGAGCTGATCTTGGACATTTTATTGTTCTAGAAAGCAAGGACTATACCCACACACACATTTAGAATAAAGCAAATGATCAAAATGTACATAAATGATAAATCTGGGTAAAAATTACAAAATATTTTCTTGTACTTTTCTGGCAATTTTTGTGTAACCTTGAAATTGTATTACAATAAAAATTACCAAAAATGTTGAAGGTAAATAAAACAAAAGTCATAATAATGATTACATCTTTAGGGAAGACAAGACAGAAAGAGACTGTGGGGAAAGAGCATATAGGAGCATATAAAGACTTCTGAGGTGCTTGGAAATTTTTATTACTTAATCTCAGTATTATATACATGGTTATTTATCTTATTACTGACACACTCAATTTATACCTATTTCCATATACATAATTACCTTTCTAAAATAAAAAGAGACACTAATAGGACAACAAGTTAGCATCCAAAATGACATTATTTACTTGTGGTGAAGTCAGAACTAAAGCCCAAATCCATCAAGTCTGTTTCTCTGCCAGGTGATAATATGGGTGGTGATAACAAAGTTAATACGTGGTTAGCTGGAGAACTCCAAACCCTGAACCATCCATCTTTCTCTACATGGTTCTAAAGGGAAACATATACACAGAAAAATGCCCTGTTGACTGAGAAGGCAAAACTTTAATGCTGACCAGGTTCTTGAGCTCTAAACGAGTAAGCTAGGCTAGGCGGAGACCTTTCCTAGACTAGAGACAATCACAGCAAGCTAAATCGTCTTCTCTAGCCCAGTCTCCCTAACTCTATCAACGTTTTGAATTGTGTGTCATCTTAATGATGACAAGTTTTCACCAGAGTTCCCCAGCTAGCAAGAGGAACAAAAAGTCTCTGTCGGTCTAGGCTTATTTACATTCTGCTAAAGTTTTTTTGTATTTCTTAGTAAAGGCTGCCCAATTAGGGTTCTGGCCTTCAACCAAGTAAAAATGATACTTAAAACCCTTTGGAATGGAGTAGAAATTGAGTTGTGAGCCTGTGCTGGCTAATGGACAGTATTGTCTGTTTTTATTTGTAAGCTATCCTAAGCAGCCAACAATGAGACCACAGAGGTGGGTGTGCAACTAGAGATTCACCAGTAGTGCGAATATGAGAAGTTTGATCAATTAGAGTCTGTGATATCTCATGAATAAGTCCAATCATAACATTTCTTTGTCTGCTTTCTTTTTATGTGACTATAAAAAGATGTCAACAGTGCATTTAAAGTTTCCTGCAGAGAGGAAATATGCAGATCACAATGAAGGTAAGAATATGCTCACAACCATATGTTTGTTCTCACAAAAATAGGTGCCAATATAAGAAATGTTCCGTTTTGAAGTCTTTGGCACCATGTGGTGGTGGTGGGTTGAAACTTCCATGGTGGGTTCTTTTGTTTTTTTTTTGTCTTTTCAACCTAAAGGTTTCTTTGCTACCACCTCCTTCCTTACCTCCTCCCTGCTCCCCAACCTTATTCCTTTGTATTAAGCACATTACAAACAATGTCATATTTTATATACTTAGAGACAAAGAACATGGTTGCTTAGCAACAAGGTCCCAGTTAAAATTTTAAGAATTCTTTTACTTTTACTTTCCATTTAGGGCAATGCTCAGGAAGCTGTTTTCAAGGAGATTCAGGGCTAGGAGAAAAAGTCTTCAAAAATGTCTACCTAAAACAAAGTGAGTAGTAGGAGGAGGACATTAATTAATGGCTTGCTGTCACAATGCAAGTGGTATTCTCAGTGACAATCAGAATGGAGACAAGGGGTTGGGGAGACTTGGCCTAGGGTGGGACAGAGAGCTTCACCTTTCCATTTTCCATCTGGTTCCTCTCACTTCTCCCAGATTTAACATGGGATTCAAATCAATTAGCTGAGAATGAAAGGCACAAAGGGAAGCAGACCCACACTGTATCAGTCACTCGAAGTGATCTTGTTTTGAGGGTTTTACTTATAGACTGGGAGTGGCAGAAGCTGAAAGCTTATTTTGTCTGTTATGAGGCCTCCCTAAAATATCTATCTCACCTTTATAGGATGGCTATAACTATATTTCAACTGACTTTTTGAATCAAGGACATTTTCCCACATAATTAAATATTACATGAAAATCTGGCTTTTCAGAAATTTATGCTATGGGTATTGCAGGACTGTCTTACCTATTCCTAATTATACATTTAGTTTATTCTGAGAAATTTGCTTCTATTAATGTTACTTCTATGAATTTACTCTTATAAAACTCTCAGAAATTTTCCATAGCAGAGGTGGCTAATAGCAGAATTGATAGATCTGAAAGAGTCTCTTGCTCCCAGCTTTTAAAATATTCTTGATATCTGTAGACTTATTGCTTCCTGAAAACTTAAACTAATATGCAAGTAAATATTTCATGATTTGGTGAGAAATAACATGATGATTTATTTAGCTATTATTTGATTACTAGTAAGATTGTGTGTGTGTGTGTGTGTGTGTGTGTATATATATATATATATATATATATATATATATATATATATCTTTGTTTAGATGCCATTTATTTTTAATGAAGTTTCTGATCATGTTATTGCCCATTTAGTTTCCATTTGAGTATTGTCTTTTTATTGTTTTATAAAGCTTATTACACAAACACACATACACACTTAATCCACACTCGGGAAGTATCTTTTATACAATGACAAATGAAGGAAGGTGGTGGGGGCAAAACAGGAGGAACTAATATAAAGGATTTATATTTGTGGTCATATTTGTTGAAAATATTTTTCTCAATTTATTATTTGTCTTTTACTTTATGGCCTATATTCTGTTTTATTTTTGATGTGTGGATGTTTTGTGTGTTTTTATAGCAGACTAAGGAGCACAGTAGTCAAGAACAGAGACTGGCATCTCTGATGCATTTGCATCTTGGCTCTGACATCTCTGTGATGTGTGATTTTCACCAAATTACTTTAACCTTTTTCTGTTTCAGTGTTCTTCTAGAAAATGGGTGTTTTAATAGCTTATGGGGATGATGAGATTTCATCAAATTAAGACATATAGAAAGCATATAGAATTATACCTGGCACACTGCCAATTATGCCTGACACAGCACACGAAGTGCTCAACAAATTAAAGTAGCCAGCATCATGTAGCAAATATACCAACCTATTCCATTGTGATTTCTCCTATAGCTTTTATGTTCAGAAAGTCCAAATCTGTAGGAACACTATAAAATGTGTATTAATCTCTTATTTTCTTCATAAACTACTTACTTATTTAGTTTAATTCTGTAATGCACCAACATCATTGTTGGTCTATGGTAAAAAGTGAGTTAATTTTTCCTACAAATATGAATTTTTTTTGTCAATTAAACTTTCACTTCTCATTTATTTCTATAATTCCTTTATCATTTACAAGTTTTTACATACGCTTAGATCTGTTTCTGAATTATCTGTTCTGTTGTTTTGCCTTTTGATTTCTATTCTAGTGCCATATTGGAAAAAAATTAGTGCAAGTCCACATGAATACTGATCTCATGACTGTTAAGATTCTCTTAGCTATTTTTAACTGTGAAATAGTTCAGGTGGTTATCTGAACCATTTTAATATACTAAAAATATGATTGAGATTTTGAATAGGATTATTCTTATCTATTAATTGATTTAGAGAGAGTGACAGTTTAAAAATATCTTTAAAAGTGTTTAAATTTTTCTTGCAAAATCCTCACATCTCTCAATGGATTTTTTTTAGTGTTTTCATAAAGATTCCCACACATTTCTTGATATTATTAGAAGTTAATATTTTTTACCAATTGTAAAAATAATTTTCTCTTTTTGTACATCTAACTAGATGTAGGAGGAAGCAAGTAACAGTCAAAGTTCCCAACTCGATCTGAGTTTTCTTCACTTCCAGTGCCTTTGTGTGTTATTTTTGTAAGATGTTTGGATTCTGAATCAGGGAATACTTGCCAAATATTATTGAACCTTGAAATGGGAATACTCTTTCCGAAAAGTTGTTTTTACTAAATAAACACATTTTTATTCTGTCTCAACTAAACGCTGGCTTGCTTGGTGATGATAGAAATAGTTCCTGCTCTACAGTGCTTACACTGGAGAACTGATTTAATGACAGCTGTGGTAAATATCAGGAAGAATGGCTGGTGCACAAGTTGAGGGTCTAACTTGGGATTCACCCTCATGCAAGGTTAGAACAGGTCATCTCTAGGAAGATTTGATATTTGAACTGAGCTCTGAGGGATCAATAGGAATTAACTAGGATGTTCCTTACAGAGCAGTTGCCAGAACACAGGCAGCTGAAGGAATCAAGACAGGGCCTTTGCCGGTTAATGCAGAAATGGGGAGAGAGGTGGGATATGGCATTGGGTGAGACAAGTCATTGGTGGGAGGGTCTCAGTAGGGTTTTTATCCTTAAGAGAAAAACAAAAGTCACCTTGAAAAAAGTTAAAAATAGATAAACTATCAAAATATCTAGTATGATGTACATGTACATTTTTTTTTCTTGGAAACGGATAGTTCCCGTGGTTATTTTGCCATGGCTCTTGAATAAATAGTTCTGTGAAAGTTAACTTTCTTTAGCCTAGAGGGAAGACAGTCCAGCTTCTCCTCCAGATTTCTTGACAGAGGAGTCTGTTGCTCTAATCAAAGCCCAACCAGGCCAGTATCTGCCACAAGATGGAAAAGTATTGAGGGAGTCCTGTTTGCTGTTCTCTTGTCAGTACTGTCGGGAGCAAACCACAGCACCTTTTGTTAAAGTGTCTGTGAAACACAGTTCTTCCTGGAAGTTCAAGGGTGATGAATCCCAAAAGGGCTTATAGAATGTCAAATTACCAGCACAGCCTGAAGGATGGCACATTCTCTAATTGAGGCAAGAGAATTAGGGTAAGGTTTCCCAGTTTTGACTTTTTGAGCCAAGTAATTCCTTTCCTTTCTTTCTTTTCTTTTTTTTTTTTTCCTTTTTTCCCTCTTTTTTAAATTGCATTTTAGGTTTTGGGGTGCATGTGAAGAACTTGCAAGATTGTTGCATAGGTACACACATGGCAGTGTGATTTGCTGCCTTCCTCCCCTTCACCTACATCTGGCCTTTCTCCTCATGCTCTCCCCAACTCCCCACCCCACGCTGTCCCTCCCCTGTTTCCCCCCAGCAGACCCCAGTGTGTGATGCTCCCCTCCCTGGGTCCATGTGTTCTCATTGTTCAACACCCGCCTATGAGTGAGAACATGCCGGTGTTTGATTTTCTGTTCTTGTGTCAGCGAGCCAAGTAACTCTTTACTGTGGCAGGCTGTCCTGTGCTTTGAACGATGTTTTTCAACAGCAGCAGCAGCTCTGGCCTCTACCCACTAGATGGCAGTAGCACCCTCGCCTGGTTGTGGCTACCAACTGTTGTACCCCCAGGAAACAAAATCACCTTGGGTTGAAAAACGCTGAGTTACAGATATAAAAGTTGTTTTTCTTTCACAATTAAAACTATTATACTCGTGGTTTTTTTTTTTTGCCGTAAATTCACTTACATACTGCCACATTTAGCAAATCAGATTCCTAATTATCAAGGCTAACTCTCCTACAGTGTACAAAGCACTGCCATTTGTGTCTGCTATCCATTTATTTATGGAAACATTTATTAAACACCTGCTTTATGTAGGCACTATACTAATCGCTAGTGTTATAATCAAGGGAGACAACAATGCAAGAGGCCTAAACTACAAGGGGAGATAAAAACATGAGTATATCATAGGAGCCTGGTAGAAGTCTACTGAGAGGTGAAAAGAAGAAGAATGGGGTTAGAAGTTAGAATCTTAGGGGTGGAGCTCAAAGGAAATATGAGGTCGAAGTGAAGCTCAGTGTGGAAACCTGAAACGTGACCAAGTATTTTTCAGCTGATAGATTTGGGGAGTAGTTGGGAAACTTAAGACTTACAACTATATATATATATATATATATATATATATATATATATATATAATAAAATATATAATATTCCTCTCTTCTAGATTTAGCGGGTTAGTCACTAAGTCCCATCACATCTCTCTTTTGGGAGGAATTTCAAAACTATCCCTTAATTTCTCTGTCTGTTCTCGTTGCATTTGCTCAAACTCCTGTCACCTCACCTCTGGCATTAGTGTCTTCCCTAGTCTGTTTTCTCCATGTCCTTCCATTGTATCTTGAGCAGTATATTCAATGTAAAATTTTAAAACTTACTAATATAATATATAATATTATATGTTATAGAGTATTACATATATAATGGTATTTTTTAGGGCGGGGGATGGAGTCTTGCTCAGGCGCTCAGGCTGGAATGCCTTGGCACGATCCCAGCTCACTGCAACCTCTGCCTCCCGGGTTCAAGCAATTCTCCTGCCTCAGCCTCCAGAGTAGCTGGAATTACAGGTGCCTGCCACCACACCTGGCTAATTTTTGTATTTTTGGTGGAAATGGGCTTTCACCACATTGAGCAGGCTTCTCTCA